TTCAAAGGATTTTCCGGAAGAACCCTTCGCAATGCTTTCGGGAAAAACATCTTCATAAAGGTGGGGTTGAGATTTGTTGCGTCGATGGTGCTTGCCAATGTTCTTACAAAGACATTATATAGAGAACAAGAAGCTACTAGGGGCTCCTGGCATCGCTACTAGGAGCAAGAACACTACTAGGGGCTCGTGGCCGTACTACTAGGAGCATCCTTACTACTAGTAACAAGAAGCTAGGAGGCCATCGCTCTTAGGAGTTCAAGAAGAGTTGGGTCAACGCTGGCGCATTCGACATGATGAACTTAGAGCTTCACAAACGTGCAGCAGGACTCCGACTCGTCGACATCGAAGACACACAACATACACCAAACAACAACTTACTAACACATTGCAGCAAACAACACAGTCAACCACATTCCCAGCAAACCAGCACGGACTCTTAGTGGTTGGTGATTTTTGCATTGTGGTGCTAGTGTTGTTTCGCTTGCTTTTCTTTCTGTTAAATGCATCCTCCAGGTAGAGCCTCCTGACCAAAACGGGGGAGTACAAATTAGACAGTTGATTCCGCGGCATCTAACAAAAGAGTGCCCCTAAGGTCTTGTGGAAAAGCTCGGACTTGAGCTACTTCGCATACAGTAATATATATACTTCAGGAGGAAAAATGTGTTTTCTTCTTACCAGGTCTTATAACATCTATGTGGATGAGCTGCGTTCGAATAAAGAAGTGAGCTCAAGTCCATTTCGCGTGGCCAGTGGGACGATCAATTATCACCCTCGTTTAAACTTATATAAATATAAAGAGAACAATTAAACAGGTTAGGAGGAAACTCGACCGTGCGAGGCTGACATAAGCGTCTTGCTAGAATTCTATACCGTGAAAGGGTTCAAATTTTGGAACCGTCAAGGAGAAAAACTTTTGTCCTAGCGGTGTATATAATATTTAGTTGCTCTGCCTTTGGAGCCTATGGTTCTGCATCTCTCGATGGATGCCCGAGTGCTGCGGCTGGATCGAAACTGTCTGAAATGGCATTTGTTGAACATGCAACCTGTGCCAACAAAGTGCCTTCCCGGCCCTTGGGTTCAACATAGGTCAAGTAAGGATAAGACATCTTTGTTGCTCCAAAGAAAATGCGTTGTCTCTGTGGTTGTGCAATAATAATTAACTGTATTCAATACATCAATACATATCAATACAATTGAAAAAGTGAACAGTTTGAATTGAGGCATGTCCATCATGTCCATCCGGATTGGTGTCGAGAAGAATACATTGGGGAAAGCGGTCTACTTCTACTCAACTTGGAAAGAACAACAACGTATCGGAAGTCATGGAAAAAATGATTTTAAAAAAACAAACAACCAAACAGGTCCAACGGGTAAACCCATCTGCGACCTTATGGGGCTCCAGGCATTGGTGCAGCCAACGACTCCCGAAGGTCGGCCATGGATACATCCAGTTTGGGCCTCCCCAGCTTCTGCGTGAAACAAATGTGCCCAAAAAGAAAATGCAAACAAAGTAAATCAACATTGCACAATGCACATTATGATTAAATCAAAACAGCGACATTGTTTCACATTGTCCTTCCACGAACTCCTGCTAAACTTCCTGTTCAACTCATTTCTGTCTTCACTACAACAACAACAACAACTACTACTACTACTACTACTACACGTTGTCTTGTCTGCCAACGTATGAGCAACATGCAAAACCTCTTATGTGTTGTAGCGCGCGCTCTTCCCAACGTTATCGTTTTTCTGTGAACCTTATCGTTCCCGAGGCTTTGGACACACCTAAGAACATGTACTAAGCCCCGTACGGATTGGAAACCGTACCTTAATTTGCAGCTTCTCATGTCAAATTCATTGGTAAACGCAGTGTTTTGTCATGCGTTTTGCCTAAATAAAACACGGTTTTTTTCGTGACACCTCAAGTTGCCTGTTTTTGTGTAACTAACTAGCTGTCCCCAGGCAGGCTCCGAGTTCAAGTCCTTTTCATCGATGCCATTGTCGAGCAAATCAGCGGCGGCGCACCCATCCGACATGGAGCTCCTACAACTACGCAACAAACGCCAACTCAACACCAACAGTCACTAACAGAAAAGGAGTTAGTTTCTGAATTTTTCGCAAAAGAAAACCTCAGCCACACATTGCACCAAAGTGTGAACAACGAAAGACGAGCTTCTAACACCTGCTCCCAGTTTACCCAGCCACGATCTGAGCCCAAAACTGCTTCGTGAACAAAAGAAACTAAATGGTCAGAACAGTCACGAGTTAAGCCGTCTACGTACTGGTCTAAAGAAGAAGGGTTGACACACCACAAAGGAAGGAAAGACAAAAAATGAGGAGGACAAGGAACACCCGACAACCGAAACAACAAAACTAAAGCACACACCGTGGCTACTTGTTGAGCCTTGATGCCCATGAGACGTATGTGAAAACAAGAGCGAAATTACAACATCCCCCTAATGTTTTCTGCTTTGGGGCCCTGTTTACGCTATTGCTTCAACTTGGTTATCTTGCGACATGCTCTTACGCAAGGAAGAGATTGACATGCCATAACATTTGGCTCAAGGTATGAAACAGCCGCTCGATCCCCTTCGCTCACTCGCTCTTGTGAACGCTGTTGGACTGTGAGTTGAATCCAGGGATACTGTGTATTACACGCTCCCCTGCGGGGAATTTGACCCTCACCCCTCACCCCACCCCCCCCGCCCCCAACACCATGTGATGACATGGCCAAGCGTCGTGGAGTCCAAAAATGTCAGAAAAGTGGGTCCGGTTTTCAGTCCCTAGGCACTAAACCTTATCGTTTTTTGTGAACCTTATCGTTCCTGAAGGTTTCCTTCACTTTACTTACTTAGTCTTCACTGTAGTGACGCTGCCTTCATCGGACCGCGCGGAGGTTTTGGCAGTTGCTCGTATATAGTTTTGTAGCATGGAAACAACCTCCAAACCATATCGCCATGTTTACCACAGAAATGGAACAAACACAGCACCATGTCACGAGGAGAGGCTCTGTGCTCTTTCTGGCCTTTGAGGCGGAGGCTCATCTAGCACATCCATGGCACAACTAGTCAAACAAATGCTTTTTGGAACTTTTAATAACAAATAATTGCTTCTTGGCTTTTGTTCCCGGATGCTTTCGCCAACGATGCAATTGTTGTGTCATTCTTGGAACTTCTGGAAGTGTGATCGGTCATGAGTCCATTTTGGCATCCGTCTTCGATCAATTCATGTCTGGAGGAAATCTGAGCCGAAACGCAGAAATATGAAAAACGCATACTAGCAGTACCAGCAGCTTGTTCACAAAGAAAGGATGAGGATAAAGGCACGTATATACTGGATTATACTATATTATACTGGTATATACTGGTATGATAACTTCAATAAGGAAAAACACTTGGAACACTCAATAAATCTTACCAGTAGCTTGTGATAGCTCGTGAGTTTAGACCAAAGACCGTTTGCAGTACAGAATTTCAGGATTTAACACTTTCACAGATTGCTGCAGCTTGCCTCTAACCCGTGGATCAAAGTGACGTGATGCCCTCTCCGAGTGTCTGTGCGAACCTGACATGTGTCATTGGCTTTCTCCCTTTCGTCAGTTCATCAGCATCTCTTTGCGCTTTGCAGGGCACATCGTGTACATTTACTCTCATTTATATATTTTCACTCTGTTTCTTTCATGTTCTTTACCCTCGAAATCAACCTTTGCACCGCCTGCACAACTGGAGGCTTTCCCGGGCGGACATACCGCCTGAAGCCGCCTGCGGCACCGCCTTGCCTACAATGGTCAAAATTGACACCATATCGTGAATAAACCTCCTGCAACTGTAGTGCCAAAGTGAAACTTGTCACTTTATTATACTTTACTTCACTTGCTCAGTATCTTTCTATCAAGTTGCGGAGCGGTTACTCGATGGCACAAAGGCAAAGTCCTCCCAAAGGAAAACAACCGTGAAGTGTTCTTAATATGCAACCATCATCAACCATGAGACTGGCACGAAGTCCTCAGTACATCGTCTGCCAAGCCATCCAAAGAATAACTTTGTCCGGACTGAACCTGGAAAACTGGCCGTGTCATTAGACTTGAAAATGGGGCAAACTCAAATGTACATCACAACTTGCAGATTGCAGCTTTGGAATAGGTCCTCCAGCTCTGAACTTATCAGGCTGCACAGTAGTGCATCTGGACCAATGCGTTTCTTGTTGTTCTTCAGCCTGGCAATATCCCCTAGATGCGCAATGATGGACGATCTTAGCAATCGTTGGGCTCACCAGAGTTCATGACTGTCAGCATACGCTTTCAAAGCCGCGGCACCTTGCACTTGAGTTTGGGACACTGCGTGTATCTGAAGAGGTTGGGCTTTAATATAAACTTTAAACAGTTTAGACTGCAAACCGAAGAGCATGCATAGCTCATCCCAACACAAGCAAAGAGGATAGGCTGTCGACGTCAATTCAACACAACAACAAGCCCTTTTCAAATCTTTTCTAAGAACTGGCTGTCGGGTAAATCAAGCCAAGCGAACTTTGTGACATCAAACCTCCCTCTCTCCCACTCTGCCAAACCAATTCAATCCAGCTCTCCTGCTAAACGACTTTGACTTCGGCACACACGCAGCAAAACGATCGGGGAAGCAGAGCTTTGACAGTGAGTGCTCGACCACTCTTTGGCACAAAAGTCAAACGGGATCAGGCCAAGTTTACCCACTGCAAAAGCAACCAGGAACAAATCCATGGCCCTTCGTCGCAGTAGTGATGGAACCAGATCTGGCCCTTAAACAGTCAAGTCATTTTGGGGAAGCCAGCCGCCTTTGATGCCACTAAGCACTTCCAACACTGGTAAAAGAAGTCCTGACAACAAGGGCCGAGGGACTTGCACACGCAATTCCAGCTGTAGTGCACCCGGCTGAAATCCGATGGCGCACGCTGATCTATATAATCGGGCCCGCAGGGGGCTCGCCCCGGCAAGTCTGCAAGATCCGCAGGACCCCACTGCCAAAGTGCAGGGCAAGGACGAATGTGGCCCCCAGCCACCAAGCAGATGCGGGTATAGCGCGGGTAAACTGTGGTAAACTCGCAGGGCCATTAGGGAGGAGGCTTGGCGACCTTCTCGGATGAAAGCGGAGAGGCGAGAAAACCTCGCAAATACCGATGTGCTCTTGCATACAAAGGCAAGCACAAAAAATATTTAAAAAAAAAACCTAAAAAGCCTTTGTTGAAGACATGTTTTTGAACATGTACAGTATCTGTTTCTTAACCTGACATGTTGGTTAGGGCACCCCCCTTCCCTCAAGATGAACTTAGATGGCCCAAGTTGCCTTGCATTATTTGCGTGTATGATTTATGTTTCTGGTTCTGCTTCTGGTCAACTACCACCACCACAACAACAACAACAACCACAACCACAGCCACAACAGCGAGAACAACCAAAACAGCACCAACCACAACAACCACAGACACAGCCACAACCACAACACCAACCACAGCAACTACTACAACCACCACCACATCACCACCAACAAGCACAACCACCACCACTCTCACTTGTTCGCCTCTGCCGCCTGCCACTGGGCCCCCTGCTGGCCCGCTGTTGGGCGTACGCCTCTAAAATCCAATGACACATTGGAGTTGGTTGCAGCACCGATGTAGATCCTTGTCCCTGGTGCCATCATCTGGTAGACACCAGTCTTTGGTTTTCATGAACATGCGTGGATCAAGAATGCCCAGACTCAGACACAGATTGAAACGAGCAACTTACAAAGCTTCAGGGCTGATGCAGAAACAAGCCGTACCACCGAGACCAGTCACATGGAATACAAAGTAGAAGGCTCAACCCAAGGCTGCGTCCATTTATTCAGAAGATTCATTCAAATCCGCAGAGAACATGCCCGCTTGAAAACGGAAGGCCTCAAAAGAACAGAATCAGAATCGCTGTGTTCTTTTTCCATGTTCTTTGCTTCTCAGTTTATGGCAGTCTTCCCTGGTCCAACAACCATCAGCTGCCTCCGTCTTGAGCTCCTCAGCATACCCATTCGCTGCGCACTTTTCTCACAGCATGCGCAAAATGTGAGTGCCAGAATTGTCTCCAGCCTCCAAAAGTGGTTTGAGTTTCCCGATTCGCCAAACCACTTCTATCTCAGGCAAAAGGCAAGCAAGGACTCGGCTCCGAAGAGAGTGCCGGAGTTGCTTCGTCTATCTTGAATCTTGTCATTAAAATGTAATGCAAATTGATAAACTCATTTTCTCAAATGCAATGCGCCTGAATTGAGGCCTCAGTGGGCGAGGAGTCAGTGCCTCACAAGCTACTTCTCCAAAGCTGAAGTCCCAAAACAGTGCCCCACGCAGTCCTTTGGACTCCTCGACCTCTGCAGTTGCCTTGGGAGGTTTCTCTATTTGAGGCCGATTTCTTGAGCACCAATGCAATCAGGTTGTCACCTCCTTTGGCCACGGTTTCCAGCTTGTTACATCCGGGTGATCTCGAAAAATCCTGTTGCAACTTTGACAAGCCATAGCACAACTGATCCAAGCAGTGCCTCGTTACAATGGGATCCGAGGAATTCTTCTTCAAAGCCAGCCAACCCTTCTCCTCCAAGGCGAAGGAATAAACGCAACAAACAACAGAATCCAAATGAATCTTGACTGCGGACATAGTGTGTAGGTGAGGAAATGCATAGGATATCATAGGATACTGTCACAACAACATATCCTCGCCCAAGATTGGGAAGTCAACAGTCAACGGTGCCTGCTTGTTCTTGCCAGTTGAGCCAGCAAAAGCTGTAGTTGATCAACATCTGGGGCCCGTCTCTTCATCTGGCATTTGGTTATACATATACAGTATATATATATATATATGTATATTCAAATGTGTTCCCCATCCTCCACGTGTGATAGGAAGGCGCTCAGCTTTTTGAAAGGAGTGGCCTGTCCCAAAGCGCCCCGAGCTGACTGGAAAGGTTCAACAGGCAGCAGTGGAAAGCTTAGGATCTGATTCAGCTGTTTGACAGAAACAGTATTTGATGCAACGGGTTTGCCTTCACATCGATATTGGACCCAGCTCTCCTAATGCACCGCATGTTTCCGCTTCAATTCTGGCTCCAGGAACCTGTCCAACCCGTCCTGCAAGGTCTCATGTGCTGAGCATACAGGACGTTCCCAGGAAGAGGCCTCAAGTCTCGGCAAAACTGGAACTCATCTTTGCTGGATGTAAACTTGAAAGCTATGCAACATTTGTAAACAATCAATTGTAACCTCATGTGAACTACTGTATATATGTTATATATATATAGCCTGCGCTTCAGAGAGGTCAGGCTTTTTAAGATCCTCAGAGAATGGCAAATCGCGGTCTTTAATCCGTGTTTTGCAGGCCTGGCACACTCTGCCAAAGCAAAGAAACCAGAAAACTGCGTGTGTCTATGTATGATGTATGTCAGTATCATCATTGGCATGATACAATCTTTGATCTTTGTTTACCACCAGCTGCCTGCAAGAGGCACTCTTCCAGATTCTGAATCATGTGTGTCATATCGCGGTCAGGCTGGTCAAGCCTTTGCAAAGCAGCACCACATTGCACACTTCGACAGCACAAGTTGCTTTCAGATCTTTCAGGTTGCCACATGTCCTTCACTTCCGCTTCTGGAGCGGGAGCTTGTACAATTTCTTCTTCTTTCACTCCTCTTTCTTCCTTTTCTTCCTGAGCCTCTGTTGGATGGATCTGATCGCCTGGCAAAACAACCATTGTGTGCAAAACCTCAACACTCCACAGCATCCCAGCAGCTTGGTGGTGTCCATTTCGGCCACAAGAGTTCACACCAAAAAACAAGTCTTCCCAAGTGGGTTCAGAGTGGGAGCTACCACTTCGAGTGATAGTGCAAGCTGCGGCGAGCAAATCTCCAGCTCCTAGATTTGGGAATGTTCTTTCTAAGACACACCAAAAAATCATACGTCACCACTGCTCCTTCTCTCATGTAGCCTTGCTACCACAACCTGAACCACACCCATGTCAAGTGAACATACTTGGCAGGCATAAGATCAGAGGATGGTTGATAATGCAAACATCGGAATAATTAGCCTCCCTAGTTAATCCGAGCCCAAAAAGTCTCCGAAAATAGGTAGTATTGGTGGTTGAATGGTCTAGAACCCGAGCCCACAACCGGGTCAAATTTTGGTATTACTCTACTACTGCTACTGCTACTACTACTACTACTACTACTACTACGATGATGACGACGACGACTACGACTACCACTACGACTACGACTACTCACTGAGCAGATTATTCAGCGGGTAAGGGATCAAAAAAAACATAGAATAAAAACATATTCAGCGGGGATCAAAAAGAAAATAAAAGGGGAATCAAAAAAATATTCTAGTCCAGTGAGGATGGTTGGGGTTGAGCATCGGCTCAAAAAGTCGTTACATGGTAGTGGTAGTAGTAGTAGTAGTAGGAGGAGTAGGAGTAGGAGTAGGAGGAGGAGGAGGGGGAGTAGTAGTAGTAGTAGTAGCAGTAGTAGTAGTAGTAGTAGTGGTAGTAGTAGAAGTAGTAATAGTAGTAGTAGTAATAGTAGTCGTAGTCGTAGTAGTAGTAGTAGTAGTAGTGGTAGTAGTAGTAGTAGTACTAGTGGTAGAAATAGAAGTTGAAGTAGTAGTAGTAGTAGTAGTAGTAGTAGTGGTGGTAGTGGTAGTTTAGTAGTAGTTTAGTAGTAGTTCAGTAGTAGTAGTAGCAGCAGTAGTCGTGGTGGTGGTGGTGGTGGAAGTAGTAGGGGTAGGCACAGCACTTCCTACTAATCGAAGGTTTCTGGCTGTCACGCTAGGCGAAGGCGAAGGTGGGCCTTATCTTCCACCTTTGTGGCAGCGTCAATGCAAAGAAGATGGTAGTTTAGTTGTAGTAACTGTGGTAAGACTCGTAGTGGGGTGGGGTGGTCGGAGTGATGGAGGTACTGGCAATAGTAGGGGTAGTCGACGGCAGTGGGAACTATTAAAAAAGCGGGAGGGGGTGCGGGGGAGGGCGCAGCGCCCTTCCCGCAATGCAAATCAAGTATAGACAGCGCTGGGCTGCTTCGTTTCTTGATTGGCTTAATTGGGCGTCACAGCTCAAGGTGAAGGTCTTATCATCCAACTTTGTGGGTTTCTCAGAGCTGAGCCTGCACTTTAATTCACCTTTGTGGCGGTGGCACAGCTAAGCGAAGGTGGACCTTATCATCCTCCTTTGCGGCGTTGTCACGGCTAAGCGAAGGTGGGCCTTATCACCCACCTTTGGGGCAGCGTCAACGCAAAGAAGATAGTAGTTGTGGTACCTGTGGTAAGACTCGTACTGGGGTGTCGGGGTGATAGAGGCGCTGGTATTGGCAGGGGTAGTGGGAACTATTAAAAATGTGGGATGGGGTGCGGGGGAGGGCGCAGCCACGGCTAAGCAAAGGTGGGCCTTATCATCCACCTTTGTGGCACTGTCAATGTCAACGCAAAGAAGATAGTAGTTGCGGTAACTGTGGTAAGACTGGTGTTGGAGGTACTGGTAATGGCAGGGTAGTGGCAAACGATTAAGAAAGCGGGAGGACAATCTGCAAATGCGATGGGCGACCCTTTACATAGTTAGTTTCCGTGGCAGGCACAGCGCAAGAGTGCAGATTTCGTGGTGCTGGAGGGGGTTGGGGAGAGGGCGCAGCGCCCCGCGTTCAAAGCGAACCAAACGTTAAAACACAGCACCACAAAAGAAATCACTAGAAACTATGTACCCTATCGTCCTTTCAGTGAAGGGCATCTAAGAGTGCACAAAAGGACCTAAGGCAACCGAAGCCAAAAGCATTGTACGTTTGCAGGAAAACTGCGGCCAATAAGCTACAAGAGAAAGGACCAAAGGCATCAAAAAGCAGCAGTGAAAGAACAAGGAGAAAACCATGGGAAACCCGCAGACCAGAGAAGCAGGAGGGGAAAGGACCAGGAGACCACGGGACCGGACCAACCAAAGGGCCTGTAACCATAGGACCAAGGGACCAGGGGACCAAAGGACCAGTAGACCAGCGGACTAAAGGACCAGAGGGGCCAGGAGAGCAGCAGAAAAGGCCTATCCAGGAATATGTTTGTTTTAATCATCTTTTCTTGATCATCTTTTTTTTGTGATGCTCTGTTTATTTCTTTTTTGATCTAGATGCCTTATTCAGGGGAGGTGGACCTCATGAATGGTACCTCAGACCTTCTACACCTTCTAGACCTTCCACGTGGGGGAGGGGGGTTATTAATCCGGTCTTTGCATTATATGGGAAGCATGGACCATCCAAGGGAAAAACCCTTGCTTCCCTACCATGACCATAGCACATTTGTTAAGCATACCTAAACTTCCCAAATCGGTGTGCGGGAGAGGACCAAGGGTTAGTGGTTTCAAGGTGCTTAAGCAAGCCTGATAAGATGCTAAAAGTCTTTTGCCGTGCCGTGCAAGGTTTCCAGCACCTTGCAAAGCCGTGCCATGACCATTCAAGGGCATACCTTTTGGGTGAGCTGCCTATGAAGCAAATTGGATCCTGCTCACGAACAGGGCAAATAACCCCTATGCGGCAGACTGGCAGACTGGAAACATCATCAAGTAAGTACAAGCCTAGTCCACAGAAAACATACTTGCAAATAATCAGAAGCACCACAAATCACAAAGTCAACGCAGCAATTCAAAAAACAAAAACATTACCATCCATTGCCAACAGTCATTGCTCATGACTACCAAATCCCAACCCAGCGGCACGACAAACAGCGACAAACAAAACCACCGAGCACCAGTCTTGCGATGATGATATTTGTGCAGCAAGTGCACTGACGACTGGAATTGGTTGCTTTTGCTTGGACCGGCTGGCGCAGATAGCTAGGAGCAAACAGCTGGAGTTGACGGGCCGAAACCAGAAGTGATAGAAGTTTCAATCATAGCATGAGCTGAGAATGCATCCCAAAAGACTTCATCCCGGCCTATGAAGCCAGCAGGTCTTGGGCTGCCCATTACCTGACTGACGACTCCAATATGGGGAATCATCTTAGTCTAAGGAGTCGAAAAATGTCAAAAGCATTCAGTATTCTCAACTTGCGCCTCCCAAAGGGCGTCGCCAAAAAAATGGAGAACTTCCACAGCCTCCCCCCTTGGGAACATCAAAACTGCTATGCTGTTGGAATGCAAAGTGGACCACTTCTACAATCTACAAATCTTCGGTTGGTCCCGCAAGTCATGAAGAAAATATTGTTTGTACAAACAATTGAGACACTTTAAGCACACAGCTTCGATCCGACAATTGCGTTTGGAGCCATCCGAAGTCGGCCCACAGCCGCAGCAAAACTGTTACCTGTGCCGGCATAGCATTCTTTCAGCCTTTTGTTCAACAAACTTGTCTTCACATATCGTCACCTTCTGCACGCACAGCCACAAGACAACCTTCTTTCGGAAGACCTAGGCTGAAACAGAAACAGCATGAAACGTGATAGAGTTTTGGAAGACACTAGACTAGACATGCCACGGAAGCACTTCATCAGTTTTGCAGGCATGGTCAAATCTGCACCCCCAATAGTACGGAGTTTTCACAGGTGAGAGCGCAAATATGAGAGCACACATAAAGACATATTATGAACAAACAAACAGATTGTGGCAGACAAATAAGGATGCAAAACCACCGGGTTCTTTGCCCTATGCCTTGGAGAATCTTGATCGATCCGTATCAATGGACTGCTGCTCTTCCCTTGACATTGCCTTGAAAAATCCCTTGACATTCCCTTCTATATTCGAGTCAGCTTCTCTTGCTGTGAATTGTCACGTTGGTGGGGGGTGGGGTCTGCGTGATGGCCTTACTATCTGCAAACTGACAGGCCATGTGGCCACACCTGTCCAATTGAATATTCGAATAAGTGCTCTGGAAGGCATTTCCACAAAGATCCTTTTTTCCCCAAACAGTGTGGACACACTTAGGGGTGCTTACGGTAAGTGTTAAGCAGCTGTGCTTAGATCGCTGTTCCGCGCGGACGTCAAAGGCTAATTCACAGCTATTTACAGTACAGTCATGCCTCTCGAAGTCCTCGAAGTGCATTTTGACTGCGCAGGCTCGCGAAATCTGGGTGGTTGCGGCGGGTGCTTCTAGCGACTGCGCTCTTGTTGTGGTGCCGTGCGCATCTTCCACTTCGTGGCAGGCGCAAGGGAAACCTCGTGTTTTGGTGGTCCAAAGTCGACTTTTCGTGACAGGTGCAAGGGATCGGAGCGGCTTTACTTCGAAGTGCAGATTTCGTTACAGTACTTTGGACATGGTCGTGATCTTCGAGCCGCTCTGATTTCGTGACAGGTGCATGTGGCTCATTTGCAGCCTTCCTGGCAGGCGCAGTACTTCGTGGACCTTGACGTGCAGATTTCGTAGCAGGCGCAGCACTTTGTGAACATCGAAGTGCAGATTTCGTGGCAGGCACAGCACTTTGTGAAC